TATATATATATATAGGACGCACAACCCCTACTCCCCAACGTTCCCAGGGCAGTGCGTACGTCTGTTTCAATATAGCCAAACTGTCCCAGAATGGACACAGATCGTAAACATGGTGCACTAGAGCCTGCAAGTGTCTGAATTTCATCATGAAGGTTTCAATAGTCTGTGCTGCACTGTTTACTTAGGAATAGCGTCGCAGACCTCCCATGGAGAATTGTCAAAGCCTCAGGAGGGAAACCACCCTAAACCTTTTACGCGTCTTGAAAGAACTCCAGGAAAATCCCCGCAATGAAAAGCCATACCAAACCTCGATGGACCCCCGGAAAGCTTCAAGAAGCCCCACTTAAAACCGTCTGCTTAGGAGCGTCTGCTTGGAGGGTCGCAAGCGATGGGCGCTCTACCCGCCGGGTTCGTTACCGCCAGGTTCGGCTTGCCCTCAGGGTTTTGGGTCTTAAACCCAAAGAGGTTTGGGTTGGGGGTTCGGGGATTGCTCTCTTTTTTTTTAGTTTGAGGGCTTGTGGAATTCCAACCTAGTCATCTGTCTCGCTCAACAGCTACGCAGTTACGCTGCTGTCGGAAATATCAGTCTCTGTTTGTCTGGCTTTGTCGCTCGCTCTCTTGCTCGCCGGCTCTCTCTCTCTCTCTCTCCCTCTCTTCCTCTTTATCTTTATCTCCTTCCCTCTCTCTCTCTCTGTCTCTTCCCGTCTCCATTGCGTGACAAGTGGTAGCGACCTGCAGAGGCAAAGTCTGGCATTTCCGACACGGGCCTAAAGCGCGTGCTGTACCTATTCTGTCGGACTTGATTCGCCTCATGAACCCTCCTTGCCTTTGTGCTGATCGTTGTCCCACTGGCTTTACCTGCTTCTTTGATGGAACATGCATGTCGGCTTCAAGAGAAACATTCATGCAAATTACAGATGAAGCCACTGGGCAAAAAACGCATGTTCCCTTGTCATTCTCGCCGCGATCATCAGCATCATCATCGTGATTAGCCCAATTCAGTCGACGGGTCTTGGGTTTAGGGTCATCAGCTTCTCCACAATCACTCCGAGTCCGGCGGGGCTTGGTGCTTGACATTCCGCTGTTGGAACCTGGCTACCTTCATGGCTGGTAACACATCGTACCTGTGGTAGCATGTAGAAAACATATTTACAACGGAGAAAGGACCAATTTCACCCTCAAGCCTGTAACCCTCAAACCTAAACTGCCTAAACCCTGAAGAACCCTCAAACCCTAAACCCTAAACTTAAACCATACCAACACACCCAAAACCACCCCTGGGGCTGGGGCGAGGAGTGATCGACATGGGTCCTGGTCGCTTCGCGTCTCCATCTCCTGTCTTTTGGTTCTCTGAGGCCCGTGTTGTCATTGACGGGTTTAGGGTTTAGGGTTTAGGGCGAAGTTGAAGGGTTTCGCATTCTGTTTTTGTTGGACTTTGGTCTGAGGGCATGAGTTATCGTTTGAGTTGGTCCTCGGTTTGGGGTTGTCGGGAACTTAATCGTGTGTGGGTTTCGAACTTGACGGCCCTAAACCCTAAGCCCCACACCCTAAACCCTTACAAGCTATACCCTACCTCCTGATATTAGAACCCAAAACCCTAGAAACGCTGGTGCTAGCGTCGTGATCTTCGCCGTCGGTGTCCTTGGTATGCGTGCTTATCGTCGTTCCATTACCAGAGCTTTGGATATAATCCTACTCTACGACCACAAAAGCCTGAAACCCTAAACCCGAACCCCCCCCTCCCAAATTGCGAGTTGCTGTCAGGTGTTGCCTTCGCTGCTTCCAGCGCAGCGCCCGCCCATTGATTTGGTGACCCAGGCCCGATCAATGACGCCTTTGCTCAGAAAGCTTATCGGGTAAAAAAGGGGCCTCAAAAATTACCTATATTATTTTCCGGGCTCCAATATAACTCTAGTATGATATACCCCAAAACACTTATTTTTTATTAAGGCCCCTGGTTGATGTAGATCGGTTTCAATTGTATGACCTGCAGTTATGGTGCGCTTAGCAGGGTGTAGACGTTTCTGCGACTCATGGTCTGGGCAAATGCAGACCGTTCAGCACTGGAGCCGTAGGGGCAGTCAGCCAAACACCTAAAGGGTCATACAGCCATGCTCTATCCCTTTTAAACGGTAACTGGTTTTGTATTTAGTCAAGCATCGGATATATCGAAAAGTATACTGGTGGGTGGCCCGCAAATTCCCTATCTTTTGGTCTATAGGGCAGGGTTTTTGTTTGCATAAGAATCGCCTTAGGAGCCCTAACACGTCTAGCAACATTTTCGACGTTTCGCAGGAATTCCAAAAGGGCCCAGATTCAATAGCAACATCCCAAAATGCGTCTGTCAAGACCGGCTAAATGCATTCGCGTAGCTGCCTCTTTTCCAAACTGCAATAGACTAATTAAGGTTTAGGGTTTAGGTTTACTGAAAGCAGCAAGCACAATTAAAGCTACATCATGAACCCTGTCAGTACTTGCAGAATCGAGAGGCAGGAGATCTACTTTACATTCCGCCGGGTTGGTGGCACTGCGTTCTGAACCTGACCACCCCCTGTGTGGCATTTACGCGTGCCTGGGACTGCAAAATGCTTGCAATGAGCCCTCGTCTTTCTTGCGTGCTTTTTCAAAGATTCCGTCTAGCAGATCATAGGTTTTACGCCTGTGCGGACTTTGTTCATGGGTTCATGGAGATACGAAAGACCAAGGCATGTCAACCCTCAGCGCAAGCCCGGTATGGTAGCGAGTAGTGACATTCAAAAGTTAGTAGAGATACCGTTGTCTTAGCCCAACCAAGAGTGGCAATAGGCACTTGAATGCAATCTGCAATCATACCAGCAATTGAAAAGCGAGAGTATGATGAGAGGCAATGTTTTGCGATGGCGGGCCCAAACTTAACAGCTTACCAAGAAAGCAGACAACAACGCTGATGAGCACTCCTGCTTTCAATATTAACAATACGACTGTAGTGACTGTAAGGCGGATGACTGAGACGAGATCTGTCGCATTTAGACGAAAGCTGACCGCGCTGGCAATACTGTTGCCAACCGCACTGGCAATTACAACAGCGTTAACATTCAAGGCAGGTAATGACCAACACTACCTTTGACAACTCCAGCTGCAGTAGCAACCACCATCAGACTTGTACCAATCAACCATCATAACAACAACCGGACAATAGCAATACTGCTGCCTTTCAGAACATGAATCGAAAGAGCAGTCTTCAGACTTATCGTAACTTCAAGCCCGCAAGCCCTTGCCATACCCACGTTCTTACTTCTCTGCCAGCAGAACAGTAATTAGTGCCTTAAGCCTTAGAGCCCTGGAGCCCGGACGACCGAAACCGTCGTGAACCCAATGCCCTTAGACTCTTGTGAGCTCCTTGCCATTAGGGTTTAGGGTTTTTAAAGGGTGCGAAAGTCTTTGTAATTCATGAAAAATGCTCAAAGCTTATAAAGCCTCCTAAAGCCTGAAAGCCTAAAGCCTCCTAAAGCCTCAACGCCTAAACCTCCTAAAGCCTCAAAGCCTGATGCCTCCTAAAGCCTCGGCTTCAAAGGGAACGTGGCTTACGGCCTTCGAGCGGCCTCGACCGTGGCAGCAGCCCTGAATGCCGCAGGGCGGCCGGACGAGGTCCATCGGTTTAGGGTTTTAGGGTTTGAGGG